CTGGGCAGCTGTTGGCGAGAGGTGAAGAGATACGAAGAGGACAGCTGGAAATGTTAGGGAAGAATAGATAGAGAGCCGGACCCCAAAGACAGTAAATAGCGATAGGGAGAGTCAGCGTTAGCGGAGATGGAGTCACTGTGTGTGAATAGATGGAAGTCACTGCGTGTGAAGAGATAGCGGCGATACTGTGTGTGGAAGAGATAGAAGACAAACCACTGTGTGTGGAAGGGAAGACACTGCGTGTGAAGAGATAGGCGAAGAAACGCTGTGTGTGGAAGGGGATGCACGGACGGCGGAGCACGGAGAGAATTACTGTGTGTACGGAACGATGGAATAAAAGTGACGGCGGAAAAAGAGACGGTTGTCGTCCGAGTGAATTCACGGCACTACGATTTAGCTGCTGTGCATTTCCACATGACCAGAAGCCACTTTGTTGATTTGTGATGGCCAGGTCGCCTTTGAAGAAGAGCCACACACAGCTTTTTGCCTGGTAGGATGAGGATGAATTTTGATTTAAAGCTTTCGTGACTGCAGTAATTCATATTATTAGCTCTTTCGGTAAAGTCACGTTGAAGGGAAACAATAAAATAATAAAATATATATAAAACAATAAAAATTCTCACCTGATGACGACCGTTTGTGTTATGGTCGAAACGTCGTGAGAATGTTTTGATTTTGATTTAAAGCTTTCGTGACTGCAGTAATTCATATTCTTAGTTTTTTCGGTAAAGTCACGTTGAAGAGAAACAACAAAATAACAAAATATATATAAAACAATAAAAAATTCTCACGACGTTTCGACCATAACTCAAACGGTCATCATCAGGTGTGTTGGTTTGCATAAATTTATTTTTAAACGGCACATTTATTTATTTATAAAAAAAACGTTGGCGTCACGCGCAGCGATTTGGCAGTTTGCCCAGGACTAGTCCATCTATTTTTTTTTGAAAAGAGGAGGGGGGAGACGAAATTTTTATAATGTATGCTGTCTGAAAGCCACTGTAAGCGTGAACAATCAATTAAGAACTGAAATGGTTTATCAAATCTTTCCAATGATTGCTAAGATAGAATCCATCTTCTCGGTTGAAATTGTCTCTGTGCTTGTATATGTGGATAGCCTCATGAACGAATCTCTCATGGAAGCCAGATGGCTTACAAAGAACCTCCGTCTTGGAAAAGTCAATGGCATGTGAGCCTACTGAATTAGAACAATGATCTGCTACGGCCGAGGTGTTGGTCCTACCGTGTTTAAGGTCTGCTTTATGTTCACGAATGCGGTCCAAGACATGGCGTTTGGTTTCTCCAATGTAACTACTACCACAGAGGCAACTTAGTTTGTAGACACCAGGGTATTGTATGTCCGGAATCACATCTTTTACAGACGGAACCAGATCACGGATTTTATGTAATGTGTTGAAACGGACCTGGATCTTGTGTTTATTCAAGATTTTGGAGATCTTTTTTGTGATCCCAGCAATGTAGGGTAAAGTGATGGTTTTGAAAGGCTCCTCAAGAGGGTTCTTCTTCATGGTTTGAGTGATAGCTTTGCGGATTGTATAGTCGGAGTAACCATTAGCCCTAAGAGCTTGGTGTACGTGCTTGAGTTCACTGCTTATGTGTTCCTGGTCGGATATGCATTGGGCTCTATGATACAGAGTCTTGATGAGAGAATTCTTCTGTGATGGATGGTGGTGGGAATCCGGTTTCAGATAAGCATCCGTATGGGTAGCTTTCCTGTAGACAGAGTGGCTCATTGAACCATCAGGTCTCTTTTTAATTAGGACATCCAAAAAAGGTATCTTGCCATCTATTTCGACTTCCATGGTAAATCTGATGGCTGGGTGTATGGAATTGATGTCGAAGAATTGGTCTAGAGCAGGCCGGCCATGTGGCCAGATGACAAAAGTGTCATCCACGTACCTCTTCCATAAGGTTGGGCGCAGAGTGGCAGTCTGGATGGCGTCAGTCTCAAATTTCTCCATGAAAATGTTAGCTATAACTGGAGAGAGGGGGGAGCCCATTGGGGTGCCCTCAGTTTGTTTGAGACTGACGCCATCCAGACTGCCACTCTGCGCCCAACCTTATGGAAGAGGTACGTGGATGACACTTTTGTCATCTGGCCACATGGCCGGCCTGCTCTAGACCAATTCTTCGACCACATCAATTCCATACACCCAGCCATCCGATTTACCATGGAAGTCGAAATAGATGGCAAGATACCTTTTTTGGATGTCCTAATTAAAAAGAGACCTGATGGTTCAATGAGCCACTCTGTCTACAGGAAAGCTACCCATACGGATGCTTATCTGAAACCGGATTCCCACCACCATCCATCACAGAAGAATTCTCTCATCAAGACTCTGTATCATAGAGCCCAATGCATATCCGACCAGGAACACATAAGCAGTGAACTCAAGCACGTACACCAAGCTCTTAGGGCTAATGGTTACTCCGACTATACAATCCGCAAAGCTATCACTCAAACCATGAAGAAGAACCCTCTTGAGGAGCCTTTCAAAACCATCACTTTACCCTACATTGCTGGGATCACAAAAAAGATCTCCAAAATCTTGAATAAACACAAGATCCAGGTCCGTTTCAACACATTACATAAAATCCGTGATCTGGTTCCGTCTGTAAAAGATGTGATTCCGGACATACAATACCCTGGTGTCTACAAACTAAGTTGCCTCTGTGGTAGTAGTTACATTGGAGAAACCAAACGCCATGTCTCGGACCGCATTCGTGAACATAAAGCAGACCTTAAACACGGTAGGACCAACACCTCGGCCGTAGCAGATCATTGTTCTAATTCAGTAGGCTCACATGCCATTGACTTTTCCAAGACGGAGGTTCTTTGTAAGCCATCTGGCTTCCATGAGAGATTCGTTCATGAGGCTATCCACATATACAAGCACAGAGACAATTTCAACCGAGAAGATGGATTCTATCTTAGCAATCATTGGAAAGATTTGATAAACCATTTCAGTTCTTAATTGATTGTTCACGCTTACAGTGGCTTTCAGACAGCATACATTATAAAAAATTTCGTCTCCCCCCTCCTCTTTTCAAAAAAATATAGATGGACTAGTCCTGGGCAAACTGCCAAATCGCTGCGCGTGACGCCAACGTTTTTTATAAATAAATAAATGTGCCGTTTAAAAATAAATTTATGCAAACCAACACACCTGATGATGACCGTTTGAGTTATGGTCGAAACGTCGTGATAATTTTTTATTGTTTTATATATATATTTTGTTATTTTGTTGTTTCTCTTCAACGTGACTTTACCGAAAAAACAAAGAATATAATGTTTTTATTGTTTTATATATATTTTATTGTTTCCCTTCAACGTGACTTTACCGAAAGAGCTAAGAATAAGGATGAGGATGGTTTCGTTTTATTTTGTTGTATTTATTGTGCTTTGCACTGGTGTCGTGATTTTTGTTTCGTTGTTGTAGCAACGTTCTTACCACGTGCCCCCACTGGACATCCGTGAGCATGAGCTGATTCATATAAATACAGATGATTATCTTCTTTGGTTCTTTCGGTTAAAGTCATGTAGAATGAGGAAAAAATAATAAATTGATGAAATAAAATAACACAATTTGTGAGAATATTATTGCGTTATTTTATTTTATCAATTTATCATTTTATTCTCATTCTACGTGGTGACTTTACTGAAAGAACCAAAGAAGATGAATCCTTGCAGTCACGAAAGCTTTCAATCGAAATGATTGATTATTATTATAAATAAAAAAGAGGGTCTCACACCCCGATCGGCCGATCCTGCGCTGTCAATGATCCACCCATCCCTCGGGCCACAGCCAAGGCCACAGACAGACAACCCCCCGCGTTCCGTCTCCACTGCGGGACGTTCTGTGGACGTCCTGTGGACGTTCAAGACGCAGCGTCATCAGCACCCGTAGCGACCGTCGACAGATCGACAAACAAAACACGTGGGTCACGTGGCGCCCCGCTCGGCCAATCGTAAACGCCCGCCCGCTATTGCAATAGGTAGAGGGGGGGGGAGGTCACAGCCCGGCGGTGGCCATGTTGGGTAGGGAAGCTCAGCGGCGGCCATGTTAGATAGGGAAGCTCAACGGCGGCCATGTTGGGTAGGGAAGCCGCCCCCACCACTCAACCCACCCCCCCCATCCTGCCGACAGAATCGGAATCAGAATCTTTGTTGAGGCTGCAGCAGGAACAGGAATCCCGATGAGCTGCGAAGAATTTTTTTTGTTTTGTTTAACACGTAGCAGGCAACCAATATCATCCATAATAGAGGGGTTTTTGGTGGGTTAGATCGCGTAAAAATATAAATGTTGTGTCGTTAAACCCGCCACCACCCGACACAGCCAACCAGTAAGGGTTGTCACGTAAACTGAACGTGGCCAATTCGTCACTAGTACAGCACTAGCGTATAGTGTAGTGTACAGTGTAGTGTATCGTGTAGTGTAGTGTATAGTAGTGTAGTGTATCGTGTAGTGTATAGTGTAGTGTATCGTGTAGTGTAGTGTATAGTGTAGTGTATAGTGTAGTGTATAGTAGTGTAGTGTATAGTGTAGTGTATAGTAGTGTATAGTGTAGTGTATAGTAGTGTAGTGTATAGTGTAGTATATAGTGTAGTGTATAGTGTAGTGTATAGTGTAGTGTATAGTGTAGTATATAGTGTAGTGTATAGTGTAGTGTATAGTGTACTAGTACAGCACACCGGTTGTGTGTTTGGAGAGCCAAGCCACAACATTGACAATCTCAAGTACGACGTTTCGCCAGTAATTACAACCAGCTTCATCAGGCGGACAGACAGATTTGTGGAGAAGTCTTCCTGTCTCGTTCCTTACGTAGAGGCGTAGATGTGGTGAATCCCCACGTGCCCACTCGGGTCACGTGCCCACCCCCCCCTAGCCCCCTACTCCCACCCCGCCTCCCCTTTCCCTACCCAAGATGGCGGCGCGAGGCTTTCCCGACCCAAGATGGCGGCGCGAGGCTTTCCCGACCCAAGATGGCGGCGCGAGGCTTCTGTCGCTCGCCTGCGCTGGGCGTGAACCGCGGAGCCATCGCGACGCAGCCGCGCGCGCTCTGACGGAGCGGGCACCGCGGCGGCGGTGGTGGTGGTGGCCGTGTCGAGGTGGGTGAGTGGAGGCGATAAACTCGGAAGCCTTGGGACTCGAGACCTAGGATCTGGGACCTGGGACCTGGGCAGTCGCCCCCCAACGGAGAAGGGGGGGGGGAGCCCCCCAATCGCTTGGTGGGTCCCCACATCGAGCGCGCTAAGAGAGGGAGCTCGCTCTTCTCTCTCCTCTCTCTCGCTCTCCTCTCTCGCTGTGCGTGCGTGCGCGCGGCGCCATGGACGCGCGCGTTGCTGAGCAATTAAGAACAGCAGCGCAGGCAAAGCCGCGAGCTGGAACCTGATCCCTGTGCCGCCTCCCCACTACCCCCCCCCCCCGATCCCTGCAAGCCCCCCGCACCCCCCCCCCCGATCCCTGCCCCCCCCCCCGATCCCTGCTCCCCCCGCTACCTCCCCCCCCCCCCGCTCCCTGCCCCCCCCGATCCCTGCCCCCCCGATCCCTGCCCCCCCCCGATCCCTGCCCCCCCCCCTGATCCCTGCAAGCCCCCCGCTCCCCCCCCATCCCTGCCCCCCCCCCCAATCCCTGCTCCCCCCGCTACCTCCCCCCCGCTCCCTGCCCCCCCCGATCCCTGCTCCCCCCGATCCCTGTCCCCCCCCCGATCCCTGCCCCCCCCCCCGATCCCTGCTCCCTGCCCCCCCCGATCCCTGTCCCCCCCCCGCTCCCTGCCCCCCCGCTGGTGCTGCTCTCACTGCGGCTGTGTTGCAGCTCACCGCAGCAACCCCGCCCGTTACCATCACTACCACCGTTACCACGGTTACCATCACTACCACCGTTACCACGGTTACCATCACTACCACCGTTACCATCACTACCACCGTTACCACGGTTACCATCACTACCACCGTTACCACGGTTACCATCACTACCACCGTTACCACGGTTACCATCACTACCACCGTTACCACGGTTACCATCACTACCACCGTTACCATCACTACCACCGTTACCACGGTTACCATCACTACCACCGTTACCATCACTACCACCGTTACCATCACTACCACCGTTACCATCACTACCACCGTTACCATCACTACCACCGTTACCATCACTACCACCGTTACCACGGTTACCATCACTACCACCGTTACCACGGTTACCATCACTACCACCGTTACCATCACTACCACCGTTACCATCACTACCACCGTTACCATCACTACCACCGTTACCATCACTACCACCGTTACCATCACTACCACCGTTACCATCACTACCACCGTTACCATCACTACCACCGTTACCACGGTTACCATCACTACCACCGTTACCACGGTTACCATCACTACCACCGTTACCATCACTACCACCGTTACCATCACTACCACCGTTACCATCACTACCACCGTTACCACGGTTACCATCACTACCACCGTTACCACGGTTACCATCACTACCACCGTTACCACGGTTACCATCACTACCACCGTTACCATCACTACCACCGTTACCATCACTACCACCGTTACCATCACTACCACCGTTACCATCACTACCACCGTTACCACGGTTACCATCACTACCACCGTTACCACGGTTACCATCACTACCACCGTTACCACGGTTACCATCACTACCACCGTTACCACGGTTACCATCACTACCACCGTTACCACGGTTACCATCACTACCACCGTTACCACGGTTACCATCACTACCACCGTTACCATCACTACCACGGTTACCATCACTACCACCGTTACCACGGTTACCATCACTACCACCGTTACCACGGTTACCATCACTACCACCGTTACCACGGTTACCATCACTACCACCGTTACCACGGTTACCATCACTACCACCGTTACCACGGTTACCATCACTACCACCGTTACCACGGTTACCATCACTACCATCACTACCACCGTTACCACCGTTACCATCACTACCACCGTTGCCACGGTTACCATCACTACCACCGTTACCACCGTTACCATCACTACCACCGTTACCACGGTTACCATCACTACCACCGTTACCATCACTACCACCGTTACCACGGTTACCATCACTACCACCGTTACCACCGCTACCACCGTTACCACCGTTACCATCACTACCACCGTTACCACGGTTACCATCACTTCCACCGTTACCATCACTACCACCGTTACCACGGTTACCACCACTACCACCGCTACCACCGTTACCATCACTACCACCGTTACCATCACTACCACCGTTACCACGGTTACCATCACTACCACCGTTACCATCACTACCACCGTTACCACGGTTACCATCACTACCACCGTTACCATCACTACCACCGTTACCATCACTACCACCGTTACCACGGTTACCATCACTACCACCGTTACCACGGTTACCATCACTACCACCGTTACCACCGTTACCATCACTACCACCGTTACCACGGTTACCATCACTACCACCGTTACCACGGTTACCATCACTACCACCGTTACCACGGTTACCATCACTACCATCACTACCACCGTTACCACCGTTACCATCACTACCACCGTTGCCACGGTTACCATCACTACCACCGTTACCACCGTTACCATCACTACCACCGTTACCACGGTTACCATCACTACCACCGTTACCATCACTACCACCGTTACCACGGTTACCATCACTACCACCGTTACCACCGCTACCACCGTTACCACCGTTACCATCACTACCACCGTTACCACGGTTACCATCACTTCCACCGTTACCATCACTACCACCGTTACCACGGTTACCATCACTACCACCGTTACCATCACTACCACCGTTACCACGGTTACCATCACTACCACCGTTACCATCACTACCACCGTTACCACGGTTACCATCACTACCACCGTTACCATCACTACCACCGTTACCACGGTTACCATCACTACCACCGTTACCATCACTACCACCGTTACCATCACTACCACCGTTACCACGGTTACCATCACTACCACCGTTACCACGGTTACCATCACTACCACCGTTACCACCGTTACCATCACTACCACCGTTACCACGGTTACCATCACTACCACCGTTACCACGGTTACCATCACTACCACCGTTACCACGGTTACCATCACTACCATCACTACCACCGTTACCACCGTTACCATCACTACCACCGTTGCCACGGTTACCATCACTACCACCGTTACCACCGTTACCATCACTACCACCGTTACCACGGTTACCATCACTACCACCGTTACCATCACTACCACCGTTACCACGGTTACCATCACTACCACCGTTACCACCGCTACCACCGTTACCACCGTTACCATCACTACCACCGTTACCACGGTTACCATCACTTCCACCGTTACCATCACTACCACCGTTACCACGGTTACCACCACTACCACCGCTACCACCGTTACCATCACTACCACCGTTACCATCACTACCACCGTTACCACGGTTACCATCACTACCACTGTTACCATCACTACCACCGTTACCACGGTTACCACCACTACCACCGTTACCATCACTACCACCGTTACCACGGTTACCATCACTACCACCGTTACCATCACTACCACCGTTACCACGGTTACCACCGTTTCACAACCACAGCCCGTGTCTCTGTGGCGGTAACCTTGCCGCAGTCTCAGCCGTGACCAATGTGTTACCCTGATTACCAGTGTGTTACCCTGGTTACCAATGTGTTACCCTGGTTACCAGTGTGTTACCCTGGTTACCATTGTGTTACCCTGATTACCAGTGTGTTACCCTGGTTACCAATGTGTTACCCTGGTTACCAATGTGTTACCACAGTCGTTACCAATGTGTTACCCTGGTTACCAATGTGTTACCCTGGTTACCAATGTGTTACCCTGGTTACCATTGTGTTACCCTGATTACCAGTGTGTTACCCTGGTTACCAATGTGTTACCCTGGTTACCAATGTGTTACCACAGTCGTTACCAATGTGTTACCCTGGTTACCAGTGTGTTACCCTGGTTACCAATGTGTTACCCTGGTTACCAATGTGTTACCCTGGTTACCATTGTGTTACCCTGGTTACCAATGTGTTACCCTGGTTTCCAATGTGTTACCACAGTCGTTACCAATGTGTTACCCTGGTTACCAGTGTGTTACCCTGGTTACCAATGTGTTACCCTGGTTACCATTGTGTTACCACGGTCGTTACCAATGTGTTACCCTGGTTACCAATGTGTTACCCTGGTTACCAATGTGTTACCCTGGTTACCAATGTGTTACCCTGGTTACCAATGTGTTACCCTGGTTACCATTGTGTTACCACGGCCGTTACCAATGTTACCCTGGTTACCAATGTGTTACCCTGGTTACCAGTGTGTTACCCTGGTTACCAATGTGTTACCCTGGTTACCAATGTGTTACCAAGGCTGTTACCAAGTGTTACCCTGGTTACCATCCAAAAATGGGAGGGGTGGGGCTGGGTGGGGAGGGAGGGGCTGGGTGGGGAGGGGATGGTGGGGAGGGGCTGGGTGGGGGGGCTGGGTGGGGGGTGGGAGGGGTGGGGCTGGGTGGGGAGGGGCTGGTCACCCCGTGGTGCCCTTATAAAACTCAACGTTTAACCTACTCACGCCGGCTTGTGCCCGCCCTCACAGTCGGGCATATTGTGCGGAATACACCACGTGGTGGTGCCGTTGACCCTGGCCATTGACCGAGCAACCCAACGTTCCTACCAGCGCCTCCCTCCGCAGGAGAATGTGTTAAGGGGTTCAAGGGCAATGCGTCAATCTTGATTTGAGGCTTTCGTGACTGCAGGAATCCATAATCTTTGGTTCTTTCGGTAAAGTTACGTAAGGTAGAAAATTAATAAAATAAATCAACGACGTTTCGATCGCAACACCAAGCGGTTCCACTGCTGGATCCTACTATTTTCCGCCTGAGGACGACCGCTTGTGTTGTGATTTATATTCTATTTTCTACCCACGTTACTTTACCGAAAGAACCAAAGATTACGGGCTATGCGTCACTCATCACGTTACTTAGTCCGTGACTGCGTGACACACGCCAACAATCCCAGCCGGTTACCCCCAGTTTATTTTATTTTATTTATTTGTTCATTTATTTGGTATAGCCCTGTGAGCCATTCGGCTCTTGAATCGGGTGCAACCGCAACAAACAAAAACATGAACAAGAAAAACATCTTAAAGCGACGACGTGCAAAACAGAAAAATCCAGGGAAAAAGCACCGTACATTAACGCTGTGCAAAAATCCCGGTGGGATGCAAGTCAAACAACAACAACAACCATAAGACAATTTAGATTAAAGTTATCAGTCTAACTCTGTACTGCAACAAACACAAACATGGCTAAACCCAAAACGTTTTCGAAATCGCCAAAAAGAAAGCTATAAAAGCAATGTAACAGCGATCATAGGAACTGTGATTCAAATTGAACAATAAACGATCTGCATAACATGTACGACCAAACTTTGCAGACATAGCTGGCAGCATGAGTCACTCCATAACAGTAGGAGTATCTAAACGTTTCAATGCACCTTTAAAGATTAATATACTCTCCGTGAACCAACGTCACCCCCCCGCCCCGCCGCCCCGCAGTGAATTAACTCAACCATCACCATCTTCATCCAAGGTAAAGATCCCCCGTGTAGCCTTAGCAGACTGTTGGGGGCAAGTGCCGTTAGCGAGTAGCACCTGTGAAATCCGACACGGCGCACGAGGGGGTGGGTGGGTTGCCAGCACAACGCCCGGCCGCCTTTGTCTCCCCAGTGGCGATGTTTATGCTGAGTCGAGCGTGGGGGGAGGCCCAGGACCGATCTTAATTTGAAGCTTTCGTGACTGCAGGAATCCATGCTCTTTGGTTCTTTCGGTAAAGTCGCGTAGGGTAGATCGCAACACAAGCAATCGTCATCAGGTGGTGCAACCACAGCAAGAAAAAAAAAAACTGCTGAATTAGGCTCAGGACCGGTGAAGATATTTGTCGCTGGTGTTGGCCGTGAGCGGGAATTGAATTGGCGTCGCCGGGGTTCGTAGTGCAGCGCGCAAGCCACTGCAACTACCGCTCCCCACCATCAGTCACGATCGATCCACTGCTGGATGAAGGCTTCACCAAGGCCTCCCGTTGTCACCGCTCACGACCCATGCACCTTTTGACCTCCCGATGCGGCAGCTGAAACTATGGTGCGTTTTATTTTTTAATCTCCCCTCCCCCTCCGCCGCCTCTATCTACCCAGCAGTCTACACGGCTGCACCACAGTTGTTGATTGGCTGGTCGCGCGTGGCGGGGTCAAGTGTGGGTCAATCCCCACCTCACTGTCTTCCAAGACCTTCTGGTCGGCCAAAACTGTTCACGATCAAACTATTTTTTTTTTTAGCAGGTAAGGCCCACAAGAGCTATATAGCTATTTTGCAAAAGAGACCTGACTCAATACAGTGGCTTATTATCACGTGGAAATTCATGGCACCGGAGAAAAATCCACGCGGCCACGGGGGAGAGAGACGCACGCAAACTCCAAATATACAGGAGGCATCGTCAGGATCGGGATCGAACCCACGGCCTCCTGCGTACCAGGCGAGTGATGCAACAACTCCTAGCCACCGCAGCGCCCCCTAAAACACGCTCCGAGTCCAGCGGAGGGCCCTACCGGCAGCATTGGCGCGAGCGGGAGACATTGCAGCGCTGTGCCTCTACCCCTGTGTGCGTCCTTCCACTTGCCACCCTTTGCATCCATCCTCTTAGGTGTCACAAGCTGCTGCGCCCTCCCCCCCCGCCCCTTTAGTAACGCAGCTAACACGGAGAGGAACACTCCTCTTGGGACCTGTCATCATCACGCCGCCATCCTTGCCGGAGCTCTTGAGCCAAACTACCATTGGCTCCGCTTCGGAGTTTTTAAAGGCATCAAGGGGATAGGGCAAATTGTCGAGAATGGGCGACAATTCCTGTAACTCAGGGGTGGGGAACGTCCGGTCCGCGGGCCGTACGAGGCCCCGCCAAATCATTTGGTGTGGCCATGCCAAGGCAACCGCAGGCGGGACTCGAAATTCAATAAATCTAGGTAGAGCAAACCTGGAAAAGCAGTTGCGAGTAGCAGCAACATCGTCAATAGCGGCTAACATCATCACCACAAGCCTCACCAAAGAGAAGCAGTTCCAGCGCATCACATTAGGTTGGCGAGTTAATTAAACGTTTGACCAAATCTAACGGGCTAATTTTTAAGTTGATCGTTTTGTATGGCCCGCGAATGATGTTATATAAATATCCAAATGGCCCTTGGCAGAAAAAAGGTTCCCCGCCTCTGCTCGAACATTTAGAAATACGCGTTTGGATTATTTGGCTGCTATAAATGTCCAATGAGGACGGTTGGCTACATGCATTCAGCATGCATACATGTACATGGCTATGTCAGTGGGCTTTATCAGATAAAATAGAAAAATTGTTTAGTTTGGATGAATTTTTATCGATTTGTTTACCTTTACCATACTTTGCACTCCTATCTTTTTTGTATTGTTTGTTATTGTAACCTTCTTACCCGCCCCTACTTAGACACCTGTGCAAAAGAGCTTCTTAGCTCGTCATATTTCTCCAGGATAAAGAAAGATTCTGATTCTGAATAGGCACGGCGTCTCCTGAATGCGACACGGGCAACACAGGTGGAATAAAATGATCGTTAAATACTACCTACTAGTAATGAATAACGTCAACTTGTAACGCACGGTGTTGACTCATCGCTCTCGAAGTGAGAAAGGAAGAGAGAGAGAGAGAGAAACATCCTGGGATAAACCAGCAAATCTTCCAGAAAATAAACCCCAACGTATTACAACGCTGCGTGCAAAAAATCTCAAGTGTGATGCAAGTCGAACGATAACGACCGTAAGACAATTTTTATTAAAGTTATCAGGCCAACATTATGAGACCTCCTTTGCCAGAAACAAGATATAGGAATAGGTTTTACCCTTTTAACTGGCACAAAAATAAAGGTGTCAGTTTTTGTGCCAGTTAAAAGGGTAAAACCTATTCCTATATCTTGTTTCTGGCAAAGGAGGTCTCATAATGTAAATGCTCACCCCGAGCCCTCAATACTCTGATAGTGCGCTGTTTTTTGAGTTGTACGCCTTTTGGCGTCTTCTGGTCCAACACCAATGGAGACTAGGCTCTAAGAAAAGCTGTCTCGGGTGTGGACCAATCAAATTCAAGGACAGTGCATGTTATTATCAGAGTTGTCTTTTTTGTTTGCATTTTGACTGCTTGTGTTGTGGTCATTGCAAACATGATGCCTTGAATAAAGGTGTCAGTTTTTGTGCCAGTTAAAAGGGTAAAACCTATTCCTTTATCAGGCCAACTCGGCACTTCCGCAAGAAACACGGCTTAACCATATGTTCTCGAAATCACCAAAATAAAGCTATGAGAACAATGTAACAACGGCAATCACAGGAACTGTGGTAGCTGCTCTCTCGTTAGTTCAGCAGTTCCACTGGTCGATGATATTTTTGCCCGCCTGAGGACGAACGCTTGTGTTTGCGATCGAAACGTCGTGATTTATTTTACCTTACACCTACGTGACTTTACTGAAAGAACCAAAGAGTATAGAGCGAGGGGGGGGGGGGGACGACGACTCGGAGACGCTAGGCGGAGGACTCGCAGACGTACGCATCTACAGTACGTATGTCAAACTTCTTTTGCACTGCCGTACGTAGCCAAGCGTACTGACCGGAGGTGCGGGGCAACCGCAGACGAGGCGCAGGAAGGCAGCAGCAGCAGCAGCAGCCACGTGGCAGCGGTGAGGAGCCGGCACCACCAGCAATTGCCCCGGCATCAAATCGCATCGAGGTGAGCTGGCAGCACCTGAGGAGCTGGGTTCGAATCCATGCAGCGGCCGCCCATGATTGAATTGTCAACTATCGTGCTGGTTCATCTGCCGTTCCGTCGCCAGCGGTGAGAGGCGAGGCGCCTGGTCTGTGGAGGAAGCGCCGAGTATGTTGGTGGGTGGGTGAGTGGATGAGTTGGTGAGTGAGTGTGTGGGTGTGTGAGTGAGGGAGAGAAGCCCTTGATGGCTGTACCAGAGGAATCTCCATCTGGTACAGATACAATGGGAGGCTGATCGATGGCCGGGTGCGATCATGGGATGGCTCCCTATTGGTCAACGACGTTATGTATGCCGATCTGGTAATTGCCGCTCACTCAGAGGAGGAGTTGGAGGCGCTGCTGCTGAAACTGGAGGGTGCCACTAAGAGGTGTGGCCTTACCATCATCCCCACCAAAACTAAGCACCTGCCTGGGTATTTTGTACCATCGGGCACTCCACCCCCACAACTCCCAATCGGTGATGGGGCATTTGTGGAGAGAGTGGAGAGTTTCCCATACCTGGGCAGTGTGCTGATAACCGGCTCCGGTTTGACAGCAGAGGTCTCACTCAGAATCAGTCGAGCGGCATTATATTTTCATCGGTTGTGTAATGCTGTTTGGAAGCTACCTGGTCTGTCGCTCCGCATGAAGCTTCAGGTCTTCTCGGCCAAGGTCATTCCCTCCCTTCTCTACGCTTGCGAAACGTGGACCCCCCTAATGGAGCATTTTCGCCGATTGGAAACATTTAGGCTGGCCTGCCTACGATCCATCCTGGGTTTAACCAGGCTGGATTGTGTGAGGAGCTCACAAATCCTTGAAAGATCTGGGCAAAGTCCCATCGGTGAGCTCCTTCGACAGGCAAGGCTGCGTTGGCTGGGTCATGTAGCCCGCATGCCCAGTCACCGCATGCCTAAACAGCTTTTGTTCGGCCGGATAAAGGGGGCTAAACGGGCGCGGCCCGGGCTAGTGAAGAGATGGAGTGATGTGGTACAGGAGGATGTGGAGCTGAGTGGACTTGCCGATGACTGGTACCAGCGGTGTCAAGATCGGCCTCTTTGGAGGAGGCTCGTGAAGGACGCTACTGGGCAGTTGGAGGTAGTCGCCCTCCAACAGGGCGGAGGAGCGACACTCACAACAATGAGCAGAGCGCCGGGTGGCTAAAGCACAGCAAGTTGGCACAGTAGGGGGCACAGGTGGTACATCAGCCAGTCATCTCAGTCGACCCGTGGCACCTGGGTCTGCCCCGTGACCTCCTGCCAGCGGGCGTTCGACACTTCACGTGGCCTCAAGGTGCACATGGCCTGGCAAAAGCGTCGTGGTGACGTCACCGCCACTTAGTGGCGAATGGCGGTTGTTCTCGTTGTTGTGAGTGAGACAGTGTGTGAGTGGATCAGTGGGTGAGTTGGTGAGTCAGTGGGTGAGTGGGTGGGTGAGTGTGTAGGTTGGTGGGTAGGTGGGTGAGTGGGTGGGTGGGTGAGGTGTAACTTGCAATGTGCTGGTGGTTGAACACAGTGTGGTGGCGGTGGTGGATGAGACGAAACAGTCAGTGTCTGGTAGACACTGCATCCCCAACATGGGTGGAGGGAGAGAGACAAGGGCGTTACTGACCACCGTGGAATATTAACCACGGTAGTAGCAGCGCCAGCAGAGAGACAAGGAGGGGGCCTGGAGTGAGACGGTGAGTGCCGGGTCATCGCCGCGCCCGGCGACTTCACGGCGAGAAACGCGATGCTGACAGAGCGGCCGGCGGAGGAGCCGACCGACCTCTCACGCGCCGTTGCGTTCTCACCCGCCAGCGCCGCGTTCCGTCCCGCGAGCTCCTCCGTCGGCGCCGTCCAGGGCCACCCGCCCTCCCCCAGCCGGCCCCCAACCCTTTCCCATCGGCGGTGCCGCCGCGATGAGGATGGAGGAGGCTCTGAACGTGAAGGAGGCGGAGGTGGTCAAGCTCGTCCTGGACTTTCTGCACTCGCGCAAGCTGCACGTGAGCACGCTGGCTCTGGAGCGCGAGAGCGGCGTCATCAACGGCCTCTACTCGGACGACATGCTCTTCCTGAGGTGCGCCAGCCCCTCCGGGCTCCCCCCTCCACTCGCGCTCATCGCCACCCAGCCACCCAGAGACACCCACCCAGGCACACCCCGCCCACCCAGCCACCCACCCAGAGACACCCACCCACCCAGCCAGGCACCCATCCAGCCACCCACCCACTCACCCATAACCCAGCCAGCCACCAACCAGCCCACTCAGAGACACCCACCCAGCCACCCACCCAGCCACCCACCCACCCAACCAGGCACCCAGAGACACACACCCACCCACCCATCCAGGCACCCACCCACCCACTCACCCATAACCCAGCCAGCCACCAACCAGCCCACCCAGAGACACACACCCACCCAGCCAGGCACCCAGAGACACCCACCCACCCATCCAGCCACCCACCCACTCACCCATAACCCAGCCAGCCAGCCAGCCACCAACCCGCCCAACAACCCAAACCCCCCCACAGACCTACCCAAACCACCCACCCAAACCTACCCACCCAACCATCCACCCACCCTACCATCAACCCTACCACCCACCCTACCATCAACCCAGCCAGTCACCCATCCCACCCACCTGCCCAGTAAAAACAATGGGCGAGTTTCTTAAACCCCCCCCCCCGCCTCGCTGGGAGATTGAACCGGTGACCTCTGGCCATTGCAAGGTGGCAGCCTGCCCTGGGTCACTGCTGTGGAAATGCGAGTGACTGTTGCGTGAGTGAGTGAGTGCGTGCGTGCGTACGTGTCGGCGAGCGGAGCGCTGGGCAGCTCAAGCACAGCAAGTTGGCACAGTAGGAGGCACAGTTGGTGAAAACTAAACTATTCTTTATTTTTGCCAGGTAAGGCCCAAGTCAGCTACATTGCTCTATTTCAGAAGCAACCTGGCCACAAATGACAGCTCGGTTAAGTGGCTTATCACGTGGAAATGTATAGCAGCCAAATACTCGAACCCACGACCTCCTGTATACCGGGCGAGGTAGTTAACATCTTGCCACCGTGGCTCCACAAACATCTCAGCCAGTCATCTCAGTCACTCAACATGTGGCAATCTGGGCCTGTCCCGTGACCTCCTGCCAGTGTGCCTTCGACACTTCACGTGGGTAGCCTCTAAGTGCACCTTGCCTGGCACGAGCGCCGTGGTGACATCACCGATGCCTCGTGGCAAACGGCAGCTGTTGTGGTGTGCGTGCATGCGTGTGCAGGCAGCTCATCCTGGATGGGCAGTGGGACGACGTTCTGGAATTCATCCAGCCACTGGAGGCCATGGAGAAGTTCCAGTCGAAGAGGTGAGTCTCGCATACGCAAAGATAAAGATCCTCCCCTGAGCCGCCCTTATAGGACTGTCGTGGCAAGTGCTGTTAGCCAACGGCACCTGCGGAGGCTGGCATGGCCCACTCGGGGGCTGATGTTTACACACACCACACCAGGTACTCGTTTGAGGCTGAGTCGACCTAGGGGAAGCCCAGGAACGGTTCAGGGGGGGGGTGGTCCATTGTTGAGTCTAGGGGCAGTGTTGAGTCTATGGGTAGTGTTGAGTTTATGGTGCAGTGTTGAGTTTATGGTGCAGTGTTGAGTCTATGGTGCAGTGTTGAGTCTATGGTGCAGTGTTGAGTCTATGGTGCAGTGTTGAGTCTCTGGTGCAGTGTTGAGTCTATGGTGCAGTGTTGAGTCTATGGTGCAGTGTTGAGTCTATGGGCAGTGTTGAGTCTATGGATAGTGTTGAGTCTATGGGGCAGTGTTGAGTCTATGGTGCAGTGTTGTGTTTATGGTTAGTGTTGAGTCTATGGGTAGTGTTGGGTCTATGGGCAGTGTTGAGTCTATGGGCAGTGTTGAGTCTATGGGCAGTGTTGAGTCTATGGTGCAGTGATGAGTCTATGGGCAGTGTTGTGTCTATGGGCAGTGTTGAGTCTATGGGCAGTGTTGTGTCTATGGGCAGTGTTGTGTCTATGGGCAGTGTTGAGTCTATGGTGCAGTGATGAGTCTATGGGCAGTGTTGAGTCTATGGGCAGTGTTGAGTCTATGGGCAGTGTTGAGTCTCTGGGCAGTGTTGAATCTATGGGCAGTGTTGAGTCTATGGTGCAGTGTTGTGTCTATGGGCAGTGTTGTGTCTATGGGCAGTGTTGTGTCTATGGGCAGTGTTGAGTCTATGGTGCAGTGATGAGTCTATGGGCAGTGTTGAGTCTATGGGCAGTGTTGAGTCTATGGGCAGTGTTGAGTCTATGGGCAGTGTTGTGTCTATGGTGCAGTGTTGAGTCTATGGGCAGTGTTGAGTCTATGGGCAGTGTTGAGTCTATGGTGCAGTGTTGAGCCTATGGTGCAGTGTTGAGTCTATGGGCAGTGTTGAGTCTATGGGCAGTGTTGTGTCTATGGGCAGTGTTGTGTCTATGGGCAGTGTTGTGTCTATGGGCAGTGTTGAGTCTATGGTGCAGTGATGAGTCTATGGGCAGTGTTGAGTCTATGGGCAGTGTTGAGTCTATGGGCAGTGTTGAGTCTATGGGCAGTGTTGAGTCTATGGTGCAGTGCTGAGTCTATGGTGCAGTGTTGAATCTATGGGTAGTGTTGGGTCTATGGGCAGTGTTGTGTCTATGGTGCAGTGTTGAGTCTATGGTGCAGTGTTGTGTCTATGGGCAGTGTTGCTGCTGCTGTCAGCAGGGTACCGAGCGTCGCTGTCGTCGCGTCCGTAGGTTCCGCTACCTGGTGCTCAAGCAGAAGTTCCTGGAGGCGCTGTGCATCAACAAGGCGGTGCCAATGGACGAGGAGCCACGCCAGGTGAGCCGGCAGTGGCCCTAAGTTGGGCTCCCTCCCCTCCCTCCCTCCCTCCCCTCCCTCCCTCCCTCCCTCCCTCGTCCCACCTCCCACCCGCTATCTCTATATTTCACACAACCTCCGGACATCCTCGCAGCAGCGGCTTCAGGCTGGCCATGGAACAAAGGCGGCGGTCACCGCTGCATCGCGCGGCGCTTTCGGATGCGCTTCTGCGGCCGTCTGGAACGCTCTTCCCTTCCGATATTAGGAAGCCGCTGGGAGCTCCGCACTTTTAAATCGTCATCTATATTGACAGCCTCATTTTATTTAAAACTGCTTTTTGTGTTCAGTTTCTTGTCCTTCCCCTGCATCTCCGTGTAGCATGGGTGGCTACGTACGGTGCGAAAGAAGTTCAACATACATGCATTTGTAATGTAGCAAGAAAATTTTTAAAAAGTGAATAACTGCCAAATCGCTGTCCGTGGTGCTAACGTAAACAAAAAAAACGCGACTTTTTTCAAATTTTTTCTTGCTGTGGTTTTCACACCTGATGATGATTGCTTGTGCTGCAGTCGAAACGTCGTGAGAATTTTATTGTTTTATATTTTTATTATTTTATTGTTTCCCCTTCTACGTGGTGACTTTACCGAAAGAACCGAGAATATTTTTCGATTTAAAGCTTTCGTGACTGCAAGGATTCATCTTCTTTGGTTCTTTCGGTAAAGTCACGTAGAATGAGAATAAAATAATATAATAATAAAATAAAATAACACAATAACGTCGTGAGAATTTTATTGTGTTATTTTTTATTTATTAATTTAATATTTTATTCTCATTCTACGTGGTGACTTTACCCGAAAGAACCAAGAATATTACATATATTTATTATATTATCTATTACAGTCCACCCGACTCGATGACAGGTTCCCAGGTGGACGCAGGTTGACTATATACAACTGGGTGACTCTGTGTAGCTGATGCACGGCGGACGCTTTATAGCCGACTGACTAGGTAGGAGCCCTCGATGTTGTCGCCACGGCAAAGATTCCTGACTCCCTTCCCAGCAGTCCAAGATGATGAGGGCGATCGCCAGCGATGACAGCCGGGACGCCGAATCCCCACGGCAGCCCCGAGCCCCGCTCCGCGCTGCCTTTTATTTCCCCTCGGCTCTGCCACGCCCCTTTTACACCCCGAACTCTCTCCTTTGGCATCACTATAACACCCTGGGGGTTCCATCTCTACCCCCCCCCTCCCCCCGCGGTGACTCCCTCACCCAGTTAACCTCACTTGACCCTGCCTGTCCTCACCGCTGCAATCATTATTTATGACCAATAGGCCCCGTGCTGTCCCCTACGCGTACGTCATACATCTCCGTCTGTCTGTCCCGTTCCTTCTCCCTCCCACCCTCCCACCCTCCGTCTCTCTGTCCGTCCCCTGCCCGCCCGCCACCCTCCGCCGCAGCTGGAGTTCACGGTGGAGGCGGTGGTGCAGTGCCTGCAGTCGCTGGAGCCGTTCTGCCCGAGCCGCGAGGACTACAGCGGCCTGTGCCTGCTGCTCACGCTGCCCCAGCTCACGGAGCACGCCGAGTTTCGCGAGTGGAGCCCCAGCGCGGCGCGCGTGCGCTGCTTCGAGGAGGCGTGCGCCCTCGTCTCTGACTTCATCCCGGCCGACCGCAAGCTGAGCGAGGCCGGCTTCCGCGCCAGCCCCGACCGCCTGCTGCAGCTGCTCGTCAAGGGGCTGCTGTACGAGGCCGCCCTGGAGCTGTGCCAGGCGCAGGCAACGGGCGAGCCGCTGCTGGGCGACGCCGACGTGCTGCAAGGTGGCGCCACCCCCCGCCCGCTCCTCTCCCATCCCAACATCGGTCCTCTCCGGCTGGGCCACACGCTGGGTCACCCGCTGAGTCACGCGCTGGGTCACCCGGTGGGTCACCCACTGGGTCACCCGCTGGGTCACCCGGTGGGCCACCCGGTGGGCCACCCGCTGGGTCACCCACTGGGTCACCCGGTGGGTCACGCACTGGGTCACCCGGTGGGCCACCCGGTGGGCCACCCGCTGGGTCACCCACTGGGTCACCCAGTGGGCCACCCGCTGGGTCAACCACTGGGCCACCCGGTGGGCCACCCGCTGGGTCACCCACTGGGCCACCTGCTGGGCCACCTGCTGGGTCAACCACTGGGCCACCCGGTGGGTCACCTGCTGGGCCACCCGGTGGGTCACCTGCTGGGCCACCTGCTGGGTCAACCACTGGGCCACCCGGTGGGCCACCCGGTGGGTCACCCGGTGGGTCACCCGGTGGGTCACCTGCTGAGCCAACTGCTGCTGCTTGCCTCGTTTGCTTCTCGTTCCCTATCTCGCCCCCCCCCGCTTGTTCCCTTGCTCGGCTGTGTGTGTGTGTGCTGCCGTGCGCATCGCTGTGTGTGTGTGTGCTAGCGTGTGTCTTGCTGTGTGTGTGTGCTAGCGTGTGTCTTGCTGTGTGTGTGTGTGTGCTGCCGTGCATATTGCTGTGTGTGTGTGTGTGTGCGCGGCCTTGTGCAGGCGTGGACCTGCTGAGTGGGAACGGCTGCGACGAGATGGACCCGAGCCTGCTATCGTGGCTGCGCTGCATCCCGGCGGAGACTTTCTCCTGCGCCTTCGAGCAGAAGACGCTCTCCGTGCAGCTGGACCGCCTCGTGCGGCCCGTCAAGGCCACGCTGTCCGACCTGCTCACCCCACTCATGCAGGTGCGCCCTTGTGTGAGATACAGGTTGTGTGTGTGATACAGGTTGTGTGTGTGTGTGATAGAGATTGTGTGTGTGTGTGTGTGTGTGATACAGGTTATGTGTGTATGTGATACAGGTTGTGTGTGTGTGTGAGATACAGGTTGTGTGTGTATGTGAGATACAGATTGTGTGTGTGTGTGATACAGGTTGTGTGTGTGTGTGTGATACAGGTTGTGTGTGTGTGTGTGTGATACAGGTTGTGTGTGTGTGATACAGGTTGTGTGTGTGTGTGATAGAGATTGTGTGTGTGTGTGTGATACAGGTTGTGTGTGTGTGTGTGATACAGGTTGTGTGTGTGTATGTCAGTGGGGAGCGGTATTGTAGCGGTTAGCGCACTGTGCTACTAACCGAGCGAACCGATTTCGATTCCCGCTCACGTCCACCAACACCGGTAACGATTATCTGAACCGGTCCCTTGGCCTCCCCTTGGTCGACTCAGCCTCAAATGAGTACCCGGTGCGGTGTGTTAGTAAACATCGCCACTGGCGAGACAAAGACGGCCGGGCGTGGCGCTGGCCACCCACCCCCTCGTGTGCCGTGCCGGCCTTCCTAGGTGCCACCCGCCTTGCAGCACTTGCCCCAACAGTCTGCCGAGGCTATACGGGGGACCTTTACCTTTGTTTTTACATTACCCCCCACGCAGAAGCTGTCCCCGTTCCCCGCGTCCCCGTTGCGCCGGCGCCCGCAGTCGGCCGACACGTTCGCGATGTCGCGCTCGCTCACCCCGGCTCTCGACGGCCTCGCCTGCGGCCTGGCCGGCAGGCGGCACGCGGGCGCCGGGTCCGCGGGGGCCCGCGGAGGGTCCGGCGGAGGCCCTCCCGGCAGGGGTTCGGGTCCCGGGGACGGCCGGGCGCCGCCGCCGATGACGACGCCGCCGCCGCCGCCGCCGCCGCCGGCCGCGCTGTCGCGCTCCTTCGCCAGCTTCCACTACCCCGGGGCCCTCGGCCGCAGCCTCATCCCAGAGAGCCCCGAGGGGCCCGGCGCCGGCGAGGAGGCGACGGCATCGGCGGGGCACGACAGGTGGCGCGGGGGGGGGGGGGGGGGGGGGGGGGGGCCGTGCGGGGGGGGGTCGTGTGGGGGTGGGGGTCTGTGCGGGGGGGGGACAGTGCGGGGTTTGGTCTTGCGGCCCTGCGCAGCATGGCCGCCGTTGAGACGAGGAAGCGACCGCCTCCTGTTATGAGGAGGAGGAGGGGGTGGAGGCGGTGGAGAGAGGGGGAGAGGGAGGGGGGAGGGGGCGAGGAGGAGGAGGGGGAGAGGGAGGGGGGAGGGGGGAGGGGGAGGGGGCGAGGAGGAGGAGGATGAGGGGGAGGGAGAGGGAGGAGGAGGGGGCGAGGATGAGGAGGGGTAGGAGGTTATTGCCGTGGCTGTGTGCGTCTGCCTCCCTCGCAGGGCTCCGGAAGCCAACAGCTCAGGGCCAGCCGCACAGCCAGCACAGCCAGCACAGCCAGCACAGTCTCCCGTCAAGGCAGCAGAGGTCGGTACGACGGCACGCAGCGCGTCACGTTGTGCACGGTACACGGTACACAACACGGTACACGGTACACGTTACACGGTACACGTTACACGTTACACGTTACACGGTACACGTTACACGGTACACGTTACACGGTACACGGTACACGTTACACGGTACACGTTACACGGTACACGGTACACGTTACACGGTACACGGTACACGTTACACGGTACACGTTACACGGTACACGGTACACGGTACACGTTACACGTTACACGGTACACGTTACACGGTACAGGACACGGTACACGGTACACGTTACACGGTACACGTTACACGGTACAGGACACGGTACACGGTACACGGTACACGTTACACGGTACAGGACACGGTACACGGTACACGTTACACGTTACACGGTACACGTTACACGGTACAGGACACGGTACACGGTACACGTTACACGGTACACGTTACACGGTACAGGACACGGTACACGGTACACGTTACACGGTACAGGACACGGTACACGGTACACGTTACACGGTACACGTTACACGGTACACGGTACACGGTACACGTTACACGTTACACGGTACACGTTACACGGTACACGGTACACGTTACACGTTACACGGTACACGGTACACGGTACAGGACACGGTACACGGTACAGGACACGGTACACGGTACACGTTACACGGTACACGTTACACGGTACAGGACACGGTACACGGTACACGGTACACGGTACAGGACACGGTACACGGTACACGTTACACGTTACACGGTACACGTTACACGGTACAGGACACGGTACACGGTACACGTTACACGGTACACGGTACACGTTACACGTTACACGGTACACGTTACACGTTACACGGTACACGTTACACGGTACACGGCGCGGTACACGGCGTGGTACACGACACGTTACACGGTACACGTTACACGGTACACGGTACACGTTACACGGTACACGTTACACGTTACACGGTACACGTTACACGGTACACGGTACACGTTACACGGTACACGTTACACGTTACACGGTACACGTTACACGGTACACGTTACACGGTACACGGTACACGTTACACGGTACACGTTACACGTTACACGGTACACGTTACACGGTACACGGTACACGTTACACGTTACACGGTACACGTTACACGGTACACGTTACACGGTACACGTTACACGGTACAGGACACGGTACACGTGGTGGCGCGTGGTGGCGCTCGTGGGAGACTCTGCGCCTGCCGCCGTCCCCTTCCCGCTAGCCGCGCGACTCTACGGAGCAGCAGTTTGCCGAGTACTGCCGCCAGCGCCTGCGCTACCAGCAGCACCTGGAGGCGCAGGAGTCCCAGCGCCAGCTCTACCAAGCCATGCTGCTGGAGGGGGGCGTGGCCGCCAGCGACGTCGCCCCCGCCCATCACACCGCGCGCCAGCAGCGCCTCACCGATCAGTTCCTCAGCCGGTGAGCGGGGCGGTGGGGGGCGTGGGGGGGGGGGGGGGGCGTGGGGGGGCGTGGGGGGGGGGCCCTCGAGCGTCGGTTGTGTTGCCATCTGGGCTGCTGCTGCTGCTGCTGCTGCTGCTGCTGCTGCTGCTGCTGCTGCTGCTGCTGCTGCTGCTGCTGCTGCTGCTGCTGCTGCTGCTGCTGCTGCTGCTGCTGCTGCTGCTGCTGCTGCTGCTGCTGCTGCTGCTGCTGCTGCTGCTGCTGCTGCTGCTGCTGCTGCTGCTGCTGCTGCTGCTGCTGCTGCTGCTGCTGCTGCTGCTGCTGCTGCTGCTGCTGCTGCTGCTGCTGCTGCTGCTGCTGCTGCTGCTGCTGCTGCTGCTGCTGCTGCTGCTGCTGCTGCTGCTGCTGCTGCTGCTGCTGCTGCTGCTGCTGCTGCTGCTGCTGCTGCTGCTGCTGCTGCTGCTGCTGCTGCTGCTGCTGCTGCTGCTGCTGCTGCTGCTTGCTGCTGCTGCTGCTGCTGCTGCTGCTGCTGCTGCTGCTGCTGCTGCTGCTGCTGCTGCTGCTGCTGCTGCTGCTGCTGCTGCTGCTGCTGCTGCTGCTGCTGCTGCTGCTGCTGCTGCTGCTGCTGCTGCTGCTGCTGCTGCTGCTGCTGCTGCTGCTGCTGCTGCTGCTGCTGCTGCTGCTGCTGCTGCTGCTGCTGCTGCTGCTGCTGCTGCTGCTGCTGCTGCTGCTGCTGCTGCTGCTGCTGCTGCTGCTGCTGCTGCTGCTGCTGCTGCTGCTGCTGCTGCTGCTGCTGCTGCTGCTGCTGCTGCTGCTGCTGCTGCTGCTGCTGCTGCTGCTGCTGCTGCTGCTGCTGCTGCTGCTGCTGCTGCTGCTGCTGCTGCTGCTGCTGCTGCTGCTGCTGCTGCTGCTGCTGCTGCTGCTGCTGCTGCTGCTGCTGCTGCTGCTGCTGCTGCTGCTGCTGCTGCTGCTGCTGCTGCTGCTGCTGCTGCTGCTGCTGCTGCTGCTGCTGCTGCTGCTGCTGCTGCTGCTGCTGCTGCTGCTGCTGCTGCTGCTGCTGCTGCTGCTGCTGCTGCTGCTGCTGCTGCTGCTGCTGCTGCTGCTGCTGCTGCTGCTGCTGCTGCTGCTGCTGCTGCTGCTGCTGCTGCTGCTGCTGCTGCTGCTGCTGCTGCTGCTGCTGCTGCTGCTGCTGCTGCTGCTGCTGCTGCTGCTGCTGCTGCTGCTGCTGCTGCTGCTGCTGCTGCTGCTGCTGCTGCTGCTGCTGCTGCTGCTGCTGCTGCTGCTGCTGCTGCTGCTGCTGCTGCTGCTGCTGCTGCTGCTGCTGCTGCTGCTGCTGCTGCTGCTGCTGCTGCTGCTGCTGCTGCTGCTGCTGCTGCTGCTGCTGCTGCTGCTGCTGCTGCTGCTGCTGCTGCTGCTGCTGCTGCTGCTGCTGCTGCTGCTGCTGCTGCTGCTGCTGCTGCTGCTGCTGCTGCTGCTGCTGCTGCTGCTGCTGCTGCTGCTGCTGCTGCTGCTGCTGCTGCTGCTGCTGCTGCTGCTGCTGCTGCTGCTGCTGCTGCTGCTGCTGCTGCTGCTGCTGCTGCTGCTGCTGCTGCTGCTGCTGCTGCTGCTGCTGCTGCTGCTGCTGCTGCTGCTGCTGCTGCTGCTGCTGCTGCTGCTGCTGCTGCTGCTGCTGCTGCTGCTGCTGCTGCTGCTGCTGCTGCTGCTGCTGCTGCTGCTGCTGCTGCTGCTGCTGCTGCTGCTGCTGCTGCTGCTGCTGCTGCTGCTGCTGCTGCTGCTGCTGCTGCTGCTGCTGCTGCTGCTGCTGCTGCTGCTGCTGCTGCTGCTGCTGCTGCTGCTGCTGCTGCTGCTGCTGCTGCTGCTGCTGCTGCTGCTGCTGCTGCTGCTGCTGCTGCTGCTGCTGCTGCTGCTGCTGCTGCTGCTGCTGCTGCTGCTGCTGCTGCTGCTGCTGCTGCTGCTGCTGCTGCTGCTGCTGCTGCTGCTGCTGCTGCTGCTGCTGCTGCTGCTGCTGCTGCTGCTGCTGCTGCTGCTGCTGCTGCTGCTGCTGCTGCTGCTGCTGCTGCTGCTGCTGCTGCTGCTGCTGCTGCTGCTGCTGCTGCTGCTGCTGCTGCTGCTGCTGCTGCTGCTGCTGCTGCTGCTGCTGCTGCTGCTGCTGCTGCTGCTGCTGCTGCTGCTGCTGCTGCTGCTGCTGCTGCTGCTGCTGCTGCTGCTGCTGCTGCTGCTGCTGCTGCTGCTGCTGCTGCTGCTGCTGCTGCTGCTGCTGCTGCTGCTGCTGCTGCTGCTGCTGCTGCTGCTGCTGCTGCTGCTGCTGCTGCTGCTGCTGCTGCTGCTGCTGCTGCTGCTGCTGCTGCTGCTGCTGCTGCTGCTGCTGCTGCTGCTGCTGCTGCTGCTGCTGCTGCTGCTGCTGCTGCTGCTGCTGCTGCTGCTGCTGCTGCTGCTGCTGCTGCTGCTGCTGCTGCTGCTGCTGCTGCTGCTGCTGCTGCTGCTGCTGCTGCTGCTGCTGCTGCTGCTGCTGCTGCTGCTGCTGCTGCTGCTGCTGCTGCTGCTGCTGCTGCTGCTGCTGCTGCTGCTGCTGCTGCTGCTGCTGCTGCTGCTGCTGCTGCTGCTGCTGCTGCTGCTGCTGCTGCTGCTGCTGCTGCTGCTGCTGCTGCTGCTGCTGCTGCTGCTGCTGCTGCTGCTGCTGCTGCTGCTGCTGCTGCTGCTGCTGCTGCTGCTGCTGCTGCTGCTGCTGCTGCTGCTGCTGCTGCTGCTGCTGCTGCTGCTGCTGCTGCTGCTGCTGCTGCTGCTGCTGCTGCTGCTGCTGCTGCTGCTGCTGCTGCTGCTGCTGCTGCTGCTGCTGCTGCTGCTGCTGCTGCTGCTGCTGCTGCTGCTGCTGCTGCTGCTGCTGCTGCTGCTGCTGCTGCTGCTGCTGCTGCTGCTGCTGCTGCTGCTGCTGCTTGCTGCTGCTGCTGCTGCTGCTGCTGCTGCTGCTGCTGCTGCTGCTGCTGCTGCTGCTGCTGCTGCTGCTGCTGCTGCTGCTGCTGCTGCTGCTGCTGCTGCTGCTGCTGCTGCTGCTGCTGCTGCTGCTGCTGCTGCTGCTGCTGCTGCTGCTGCTGCTGCTGCTGCTGCTGCTGCTGCTGCTGCTGCTGCTGCTGCTGCTGCTGCTGCTGCTGCTGCTGCTGCTGCTGCTGCTGCTGCTGCTGCTGCTGCTGCTGCTGCTGCTGCTGCTGCTGCTGCTGCTGCTGCTGCTGCTGCTGCTGCTGCTGCTGCTGCTGCTGCTGCTGCTGCTGCTGCTGCTGCTGCTGCTGCTGCTGCTGCTGCTGCTGCTGCTGCTGCTGCTGCTGCTGCTGCTGCTGCTGCTGCTGCTGCTGCTGCTGCTGCTGCTGCTGCTGCTGCTGCTGCTGCTGCTGCTGCTGCTGCTGCTGCTGCTGCTGCTGCTGCTGCTGCTGCTGCTGCTGCTGCTGCTGCTGCTGCTGCTGCTGCTGCTGCTGCTGCTGCTGCTGCTGCTGCTGCTGCTGCTGCTGCTGCTGCTGCTGCTGCTGCTGCTGCTGCTGCTGCTGCTGCTGCTGCTGCTGCTGCTGCTGCTGCTGCTGCTGCTGCTGCTGCTGCTGCTGCTGCTGCTGCTGCTGCTGCTGCTGCTGCTGCTGCTGCTGCTGCTGCTGCTGCTGCTGCTGCTGCTGCTGCTGCTGCTGCTGCTGCTGCTGCTGCTGCTGCTGCTGCTGCTGCTGCTGCTGCTGCTGCTGCTGCTGCTGCTGCTGCTGCTGCTGCTGCTGCTGCTGCTGCTGCTGCTGCTGCTGCTGCTGCTGCTGCTGCTGCTGCTGCTGCTGCTGCTGCTGCTGCTGCTGCTGCTGCTGCTGCTGCTGCTGCTGCTGCTGCTGCTGCTGCTGCTGCTGCTGCTGCTGCTGCTGCTGCTGCTGCTGCTGCTGCTGCTGCTGCTGCTGCTGCTGCTGCTGCTGCTGCTGCTGCTGCTGCTGCTGCTGCTGCTGCTGCTGCTGCTGCTGCTGCTGCTGCTGCTGCTGCTGCTGCTGCTGCTGCTGCTGCTGCTGCTGCTGCTGCTGCTGCTGCTGCTGCTGCTGCTGCTGCTGCTGCTGCTGCTGCTGCTGCTGCTGCTGCTGCTGCTGCTGCTGCTGCTGCTGCTGCTGCTGCTGCTGCTGCTGCTGCTGCTGCTGCTGCTGCTGCTGCTGCTGCTGCTGCTGCTGCTGCTGCTGCTGCTGCTGCTGCTGCTGCTGCTGCTGCTGCTGCTGCTGCTGCTGCTGCTGCTGCTGCTGCTGCTGCTGCTGCTGCTGCTGCTGCTGCTGCTGCTGCTGCTGCTGCTGCTGCTGCTGCTGCTGCTGCTGCTGCTGCTGCTGCTGCTGCTGCTGCTGCTGCTGCTGCTGCTGCTGCTGCTGCTGCTGCTGCTGCTGCTGCTGCTGCTGCTGCTGCTGCTGCTGCTGCTGCTGCTGCTGCTGCTGCTGCTGCTGCTGCTGCTGCTGCTGCTGCTGCTGCTGCTGCTGCTGCTGCTGCTGCTGCTGCTGCTGCTGCTGCTGCTGCTGCTGCTGCTGCTGCTGCTGCTGCTGCTGCTGCTGCTGCTGCTGCTGCTGCTGCTGCTGCTGCTGCTGCTGCTGCTGCTGCTGCTGCTGCTGCTGCTGCTGCTGCTGCTGCTGCTGCTGCTGCTGCTGCTGCTGCTGCTGCTGCTGCTGCTGCTGCTGCTGCTGCTGCTGCTGCTGCTGCTGCTGCTGCTGCTGCTGCTGCTGCTGCTGCTGCTGCTGCTGCTGCTGCTGCTGCTGCTGCTGCTGCTGCTGCTGCTGCTGCTGCTGCTGCTGCTGCTGCTGCTGCTGCTGCTGCTGCTGCTGCTGCTGCTGCTGCTGCTGCTGCTGCTGCTGCTGCTGCTGCTGCTGCTGCTGCTGCTGCTGCTGCTGCTGCTGCTGCTGCTGCTGCTGCTGCTGCTGCTGCTGCTGCTGCTGCTGCTGCTGCTGCTGCTGCTGCTGCTGCTGCTGCTGCTGCTGCTGCTGCTGCTGCTGCTGCTGCTGCTGCTGCTGCTGCTGCTGCTGCTGCTGCTGCTGCTG